GAAAGGGTTAAAAACTTACCTTCTCTCCTCCTCCGTCCCTCCTCCTGGGCTGAATGTGCACACACGGCAAGAGCTGCGCGCGCATTCAGCCCGTCGCATAGGAAAGCATTTACAATGCTTTCCTATGGACGCTTGCGTGCTCTCACTGTGAAAATCACAGTGAGAAGCACGCAAGCGCCTCTAGTGGCTGTCAATGAGACAGCCACTAGAGGATTAGGGGAAGGCTTAACCCATTCATAATTATAGCAGTTTCTCTGAAACTGCTATAATTATGAAAAAATGGGTTAACCCTAGAAGGACCTGGCACCCAGACCACTTCATTAAGCTGAAGTGGTCTGGGTGCCTAGAGTGGTCCTTTAACCCTGCAGCTGAAAACATAACAGTTTCAGAGAAACTGCTATGTTTCACTGAGGGTTAATCCAGCCTCTAGTGGCTGTCTCATTGACAGCCACTAGAGGAGCTTCCGCGATTCTCACTGTGAAAATGACAGTAAGAAGACGCTGAACGTCCATAGGAAATCATTGAGTAATGCTTTCCAATGGGTGGTTTCAATGCGCACGTGGCTCTTGCCACGCATGCGCATTCAAAGCTGAGAGGCGGATCGGGGCGGAGAGATCCCCAGCGCCAAGGGAGTCCAGTGCTGGAGAAAGGTAAGTGCTTAAGACACACACTCTCATGAACAGACGCATATACACTAGCTAACAGACACACACACACACTCTCACAAACAGACGCATACACACTAGCTTAACAGACACACACAATCTAACACTAACACACACACTCTAACACTAACACACACTCTAAAACACACACTCTAACACTAACAAACACACACACACTCTAACACTAACACACACACACACACACACTCTAACACACACACTCTAACACTAACACACACACCTTTTTTTTATTTAATCCCCCCAGCCTCATTACCTTTGGGAGTGCTGAGGGGATTCCCTGGGGTCCAGTGGTGTCACTCGGCAGACAGGCCAGCAATCGCGCGTGGGAGCACTCTTCCCTGAGTGCTTCCTGTTCATCTTTCGGCTCTGGTATCAGTGCGGTGCGCGAGGGAGCTGAAGAGGAAGCACTCAGGGGACAGTGCTCCCTCGCGCACCCGCAAGACGATACCAAGGCCAGCTTCGGGGGGCCTTGAGGTGGCCGGCTCTTGGGCCCCGGGGTCGCAGGGAGGCCAGGCCCCCTGGTGGGCCGGGCCTGTTCGCAGCCGCGACCCTGGTATGTACACCACTGTCAGGATACCCATCCACGAAATATTGTACTATTTGCCTACTGGCAATGCTAAGAGTCAACAGACAAATTGTTAAATAATCATTGACGACAGGAGTATTAATCATGTTAGCCAGCTGCCACGATAAAGAAAAAAAAAAGGGGGTCAATATGACCCCTATATTACTATGAGGGAGGTTGACCTTATGCCCTAACCTGCCATGCTTCAGGCTGCTCACTGTGATAAAACACTAAATATCAAAGCAGAAAAAGGATAAAATGCGCTGTGCCTTTAAAAACGGTGCCAACAAATATATATATATCAATTTCAATCAAAGTGCTTAGTATTGAAAAATCGTGCTTAGGGGGGCGTGGCTGCCTGTGCAGCAAGAAAGACGTGCTGGAGAGGAGCTCCGCCAAAGAAACTGAAAAAAGCTGAATAAAACCTTTAAAAAGCTCAGAAAAGCAACGCACAATAATAACCCACACCCAGCCAACATTATGTGGAGCAAAAACAAAAAACTCCACATACTGGAGACCCGAAAACTGCCTGATATCAGGCTCTCATTTGACAGGCCTACCCTGCGGGTCGTTCCCAAGATGGCGCCTGCAAAGTTGAGTGAGGACGAGGCCTCCAAGGCATCACAAGAGGCAGAGCAACCCACTGGGACTATCCCAGCAAGATGCACCAACAGTGAGTCAGGATCCGACAACGACTCCTCGCCGAAGAGAGTCATAAAGGATCTTCTGCTGGAAATAAGACAGGTGTGGAAGGCAGACCTGCGGGCAACTCAAACTGAACTGGGGACTCTGCGCACATGACTCACGGAAGTGGAATCCAGAGATGGAGCCAGGAAACAAAGGCTGCAGACCACCCAGAAGGAGATCCACAACCTCACCCAACAAGTCCAGACACTTTCCAGACATGTGACAGTGTTGGAGTCAAGGCACAAAAGAAAGAACATCAGCCTTTGAGGAGTGCCAGAACGGATCTCGAGTGATGATCTCCTGTCCTTCCTTCACCGCTTACTGAACCACATGGGAGCCAAGAGAGGTGCTGACCCGGAGATGGTGACCACGGTGTTCCGGATCCGCAAGGCCGCAGCTGCCCCAGAGGATGCATCTAGAGACATCATAGCAGTTGCTAAGGACATAAGGACATTGCGGCTAGGTCCACCATAATGTCCCACTCTAGAGAGCTTAAGAATGTTCGATTTGAGGGCTGTACTGTAGCTATATATATGGATCTCCCGTTCGCAGTGCTAATGAAAAAAAAGGCACCTAGCACCAGTTGCAAAATGACTGCGGGAGGCAGGCATCAAATATAGGTGGGGAGCAGAGGGATCCTTAGTGGTCCAACAGGAAGGGGAAACATTCACTTTATCCCCTATGGAGATCAGATAGTGTTTCTCCAGAGGTGTCCATAGCGGACCCAGAATGGGCCCACAGGGCCAAGCCCAGCGCAAAATGCTGAAAGCCCACCCAATGTCCATGAATACCAGGGGGTTCCAGGGAGGATAGCCGACCGATCACTGTCACAAAGATCGCCCTGACAGGGGAGCATAGAACCGCACATGACTAGATGACACACATTTGTTACACTTCCCTGTCCTTTAAGACCAGTGTATGATTAGGTGTTCTGTACATAGTTTATGTTTTGAATCTCATTCGCTAATGGCCACTTGTTTCAACTAGATATATCCAACATGTAGTACAATCTATTAGAGAGGGAGATGCCATGTCAGGCGCAGCTTATGCATACACTAGCCTATGCTATGTGAATAGACTGGAATAAGAAGTTGCTGAACTATTGTCTTTACCACCCTATTAATCTCACTATGCGATACAGTTGTGTTTGTAATCATTAAATTCATGAAGCGCCAAAATCAAAAAGCAATTATCAATTACCCTAAGGTTTTTAAAGATATTGGTGGGCACCAAAACCCTATTCGGGATTAGTGAATTGAGTATTTGAGAAAGGGAAAGACACTGACTTTATTGATTAACAGAGACTTAATTAATAAGTAATCATTCAGCTTAAGGAAACAGCTTAATATTCAGCTTAAGTATACATCACCATAAGAGAAGCTTGCTGCACTCGATTGAGAGAACTTCTGGCAGTCAGGCTTGAAGGGGACCCTCTCTTACTGGGAATCAGCAGGACCAGCAATATGCATCCGTATTACAGGTGGGTAGTACTCCAAGCGAGTGCCAAGTTTTTTAGTCTTTTATAACATTCTTACCAATGGGATAGATAGTCTGTACTTTTCCATCAAGTCTCCTTATCAGTGCAGCCAAGCAAAGACCTTGCAAAAGCGTTGGATGGGACCAGCGGCAAGCCATGCCAGGTCTGTGCGGTTAATTATCTCTTATCTAAAAAGCTAGCTCTGTTCTCATAATATTTTCATGATAGTAGGCATGTCATTCTGGTGCTGTGTTTTGTGGTTTTATTAACATTTTCAGTGCTGTGTACCGGCAACATCTTAACTATCCATAAAAGTTTTATTTGCTCAATAATGATCAATCATTCTTAATCAATATGGAATATTATTATCACATTCCATCCCTTGATCAATCAGTGAGCAAAACCTCACACATTTACGCATACCATTCAGGTTATCAACAGGGGGAAAGTCCATTTACCCACTGATTCCTATATTGCTCCATTCACACCTGGAAACAATTCAAGCAATAAAGCTCTTCAAGTCAAGGGTCACCTAAGTTAGCCAACTTTAAACAGGATAAACCTGTAGTTTAAACTATAGGACATACCTCTTCCCGATTAAAAATCCTAATTAAACTCTTCTAGCTCTATACTAGTATTTATTTTTTATTCTAGCAATTCTTTGAATGCAGCAAATTGTAATTTTGTAGCACAGATAAATACAAAGTATAATAAAAACACAACACGCAATTCCTTTTATTATTATTATTATTTTTTTGAATTTGACAATTTTTATTGTTTTGTCAATTTATAAACATAAGTAACTTGGGGGGTACAGAAAGGAAGATGGGGAGGGGTGGTATTATGAGATGGTTTGTTTTAGTTTGATTAGATACACACACGTTGTACAGGTTTTGTTCGTTACGTGCATACATTTACAATTTTTTACAGTTGGTTGCATTTCATTCTGTGATGTATTGAGTATTATATGGTATCAGATGGGGCTAAGTATCAGATGGGGCGAGTTCAGTTGTGACAGCAGGTGAGGTCCCATTCATGTTGTTCCTTTTATAATTTTAAAGATGTCAGGGGTGCTGTTAGTGCAGCAGTAGGTTGCACCACTATCCTTTATCATGCTTTTTGCTCTACAGGTTTGCATAACATACCCAATGCTTGCTTTTTGCTCTGCAGGTTTGCATAACATACCCAATATTGGGTAAGTTTTTCTAATGAAGTACTAGAGTTTACATGTGTATATAGTATGTGGCAGCCAAAGGGCGTTGTAGATTCTAATGTTAACAAATCGAATGATTCATTTGGTAACTTAATATAGGTCATTGTCTGAGTTTCATTGTGGCTGAAATAGCCTTCTCCACACAGGCTCACCCTCATGTTTGGACAGTTAACAGTCAGGCAGGTTACTCTTATTTCGATCTCTTTCCATTTCATCTCTGCGAAATCACTCTGGTCCCAACCTCCAATCCGACCAAAGGGTGTAGAGTAAGCACAGTCATCCCAATAACAGCCAGACCAACGTGCTTTGCCTGTAAAAATACAACTCATTTTACTCTCTCAAATAACATTTGCCCGAAGGCACACATTCCCACTAATCGTGACCTGACTTGGAGAATATCACGGTATTGTCATTGCCTGTTGCAAAGATGTCTGCTGGTTCTGGGGGACCTTTCTCTGTCCTCACCCAGACTTTGGCCCCTGGATTTAGGTTAGTAAAGCCAAATCCCTTTTCTCCTCTTACTGTTTGTAAGGTGGGGGCTGTTCCTTTGTGTACCTGTCCCTGGTAAGTGAGGTTGATAATCAATTGGGCTATTCTGTCACTTTCTTGCACTAGCAAGTCTTGTGGTCCCTGATTTAACAAGAGGACCTTTATTTCTCCTTGGTAATCAGCATCCATGACCCCTCCCATTACATGTATACCATTAAGGTGAGGCTAGACCTGGGTGCAATTAGTCCAAAGTGTCCCGAGGGTATCTGTATTCCTATATCTGTGGTGAACATTTGAACTTGCCCTGTTTGAAGTTTTTCTTCCTTTCTGGCTTGCAAGTCTATTCCTGCAGCCTCTGGGGTAGCCCTTATGGTGCCAAGGCTCCCTCCTCTGTTTCCCAAAATGTGATGGTGTTAATTGCTACATATGGTTTAGCTTGTATATTGGGTGCAATAATTCTAGTGAGGGGGGTGTCATAGTCTGAGAGTGGCCTATTGCTTAAGCTGTTCACAGCTGTAGGCAAGTTATCTCTCCATTTGTGCATTGTCCCTTCACCAGGTTTTCTCAATTGTTGTTTCAACAACCCATTCATCCTTTCAATAAGATCAGCTGCTTGAGGATAATAAGGTATGTGAGATATCCATTCGACATTGTTTTCATCACAAAAGTCTTGTACCAATTTTCCTTTAAAGTGACTTCCATTGTCACTCTGAATCTGTAATGGAAGACCATAGTACTGTATCATGGTTTCCAACATTTTAATAGTATTTATTTGAGTAGTCCTCTTGCAAGGGTGAACCAATAAATACCCTGAATATGTATCCACAGCTGTGCATACAAAGTGGACCTATGTTATCTACCTGCCATATTTGCCCTGGTGCTTTTCCTCTTTTTATTTGACCTCGTACCATCCCTGGTACATGTCTATTCTGCTCATGCTGACACACTGGACATTGCAGAATTACTGTTTTAATTAAATCAAGCGGCACTTAAATTCCTCGCTTTTGTGCCCACCTGTGAGTGGCTTTCTCTCCCAAGTGTCCACATTTCTGATGGGCCCAATTAGCCAATCCCAAAAGTGAGTTAGAATCTTCAATGGACGCCTCTGAGATCTTGGCTTTCTTGACTGCAACAGATTTAAACAGACGATCCTATGAATCAGTATTGCAGTGAGCATCAACATCAACCTCATTTTGATGTACCATCTCCTATATCTGCTCCCACAAATCTTTTCCCCAGACTTCCTTTGTATGAATCGTGAACTGATGTGACTGCCATGTAGCCAACCATGTAGCCAGTCCATTGGCAACAGACTAGGAATCTGTGTATAAATGACAACGTCCAGGCATCTCTTGTTTCAGAGCCTGTAACAATGCATATAATTCTGCATATTGTCTACTTTTTCCTGTTCTTGTTGTAGTCAGGATTTTCTTGGTTTCTGGATTGTAAGACACTGCTTTCCATTGTCTTTCATTACCAATGTATTTTGCTGAACCATCAGTAAACCAAGCATGCTTTGCTTGATCTTGTGTTAGTTGCGCAAAAGACTTTCCCCACTTTACTGGAGATTCCCCTGGCTTGTCTGCTTCTGGCAGATAACCAGGTTCTTGTATCGGCGCATCTGCAATTTTCTCATGTAGTACAGCCATACCATTATTTCCTGTATGTACCACTTCCATTTTATGATACTGGACTCTTGTGCATGACCTATCCTATGTGTCTTAGGGGAACTAAGTACCCATTGCATGATAGGTATCTCTTGGCGTAAGAACACTGTATGTCCTACCTTTATCTGTTCAGTATCCACCAAGGCCCAATAACAGGCCAAGAGCTGTCTCTCAAAGGGTGTGTACTGTGGGGATATTTACGGGATAATAATAGTAACAGTTGAGAATTGCCCACTATTTCAATTCTCAGATCCCAAAGAACGTTTATCGTGTTAAGTGGAATGTATTTCATATAATTAATCACAATGTATAAAAATAGATTTTATTTATGATAATCAATAATTAACAAATAATATTATGTAACATGCATAACAATAATCAATGAATATCCAGTATAAAATGGTATGCAATACAAAGGAATGGGTATTACGTTTCAATGGCTAAAACAGCATTATCTGTCAAGACTTATTTATTACCATCTTTAACACAGACTGAAAGTAAAACTTTTCACACAGAGAACAGAATTCCTCAGAGTGCAGCGTAAGGTCGTAAAGTTTAGCAGACAGTTAGAATAACCCTTTCAATGCTGGCTAGATCTCCTAGGTAGTTAAGATCTATTCTTATGTATTTTAAATAAAATAACATTTAAACCAGTTCACTAGTCATTTTCTTAAACCATCCATAAGAGAATTTACCACATTATATAAGCAGATTTTTAATTTGTCTAAAAGATATCTATCTTAATTTAGAGCAAATCAATACACCTGGATAAAAACAGCGGTATGCTAACACGTGATAATATCACATCAATATATAATTATTCTTAATTCCACCTGCAGAATGGAATGTTTATAACTATATATTCTTAGTTAACTAAGATTTCTTAATATGGAAATCTGACCGTGCTTTATCCAGTCATATATAATGCTATTAATACATTTTAATTAATTTAATTTAATTAAATGAAACCAGTATAATTACCAGTTGAGTAGATATTTCATCCGATTGGTAGTCTCAGGAATTTATTTGGATGTGTCTCTGCATGGAGGTTGGAGTCCCCAAACTTCCAATTCCTCTCTTTTCTCTCCTTTGCATCTCTTGCATCTGCCTCCTCTCGTCTTGTCTGCTATCTTCCCTTTGTCTTAACTTTTAAAGGGCCAGACTCTCTGTACGTCATCGGTTGATAACCCAATAGAAGCACTAGAGGTGTGGTTATCTTCCAGATCGCAATTTAGTTATTTGGTCTGAAGAGGGCAGTCTTGTCCCACTAAACATACCTATCCAGGAAAGAGTTAACTTTTCCTGGTGACTATTTTGACGTCATTTTGCGTTATCTTTATAGCGCCATAATTTAAAATTTCAAAGGGTTTCTTAAATTTTGTCCAGACTTAGCGTCTGCAATTCCTGCCATAATTTCTGATATGACAGATCATGAACTAAGTTTACCCTTTTCCATACAATGGTACCTTATATATATAGACAGTTAAATATTAAATTATTTAATCTTCTCTGTCACAATTGTCTGGGTTTAGATTTGATTATATTCCATTAGCATTTTAGACAGTCTATCCAACCCCCTTCCTTATCACTTGTTTGTATATACTATGCATTCCTCAGATCTGGGAAAGTGGTTAGCTTACAGATAGAAATATAGTGTCTCTTTGTCTTTGTTAACTTGGAATAACAAAATGGAGTCTGGTCTGTTCAGAGTGACTCAGAATATACACTTTTAGTTTCTATCATAGCACAAAATGTCTGCCGATATAAATACTCTGACATAACCCCCCTTTAGTGCATTTCATAGCCAAAATTAATTTAGCTTATGAATAAGCACTATAGAAGTTACCAGACATATTGTGCAATCACATCATTTCTAACATAGGCCCGTGCGTGGAATGAACATTTTTGTATATATTTGTACCTGTAAAAGTTTTGAACTTTACACTTAGTACAATCAACCATAAAATCATTATTAACATAGTACATTATTTTCATTTGAAAAATGTCTTTGGGAGTTACATATGGTATGGCCAATAAAAAGCAAATCTCCATACGTTCCGGATCAATTAAGAGAGGTATAGCGCTCCCCATCTCAAAGGCCAGATTTAATTGCATAGGCTCAATTGTCTCTCCATCCACATTGGCAAGCATCGCATGAACAATATCCTTGGATACAAAATACAGAGGTATGCGTCCCCCTGCCAATTCGATCATTCCAGTTTGCACTTCGTCAAGAAAAGCAAGTGTGTGGAACAATATTGGGTCATGCAGAAATAAAAGTTCACGCTTGAATAAGTCATGACTTTGGTGCAACTCAGTGGATTTGGCAATTAACTCTGAATGCAAATTTGTTGTAACAACTGTGTCTTCCACAATAGTTAACACGTCTTGGAGAAGTGTTCTTTGCTGTTGTATCACCTGATGAATATCGTTAATGTGTTGCTTTAGCGCATAGATTTCCATATCCAGCTTTTGGACAGTAATAGAGTTGGCTGCAGACATTCCAGTTGCGACAACTGCACCGACAGTGGCACAAACTAATGCAACAATTATAGCGGTGAGGAACCTTTTGGGTCGGTTGCTCATCGGAATAGAACTGGATACAAATGGTTTCCGGGCTTGCTCCAAGATGTTTCGCACACGGTCCTGTGCTCTTTGGAGGTGCATCTGGTACCAAGTCTGTAACTCAGGAAGCTGCATCGATGAAATGTTGTATGCCTTCTCGATGGAAATCTTGGGGTCCAAGCTGACGAACACACGTCGGGTCAGGATCCTCTTCTCTGTTAAGATGAACCCTGGTGTCTCTTGAATCAGGATGCCGGAGGATGGTCCCATCTCTGCGATCGGGTCGGTCCGTAGCTCTTGGCACAGGAGCAGTACGATCCAGAAACACGCCACATCCTTCTTGGACATCTTTCGACAGTCACGGATCAGGAACTCGTTTCAGACTTATCTACTAATGATTCAAGGTTTGTTAAGCATACAAACTTATAACAGTGTGACATCACTTGGCCTAGGACAACACATTATTACGATTCATCAACATATGTATTCTGTCTAATTCTATTTTTATAACTTCATCCCTCACTACATTTATTACTGACTCTTCAGCAATTTGCCTATAGCAGTTAAACAAGCTAGTAACCTGCTTATAAAATGTAGTTATTGGATGGCAAGGAAATGGTTAATGACATGAACGTACATGAGATCATGGCACATCACAACATTTCACATCATACTATACCACGTGAATCAAGCATTCATCCAGGTTAGTCGTTCACCCTTCTGCGTCTGAATCCACACCTATAATCCTTAATTGAGATTTAGGATGACAAGCACGCAACTGGTTAATGTGAACCCACTTTTCAATAAAATCACCATCCTTAGGAATTTTTATCTTGTACGCTACTGGGGAAATTTTGTCAATAATGACATATGGCCCTTTCCAAGAAGGTAAAAATTTCTTTTCCTTGACTTGATTTCGCGCAAAGTTATACAGATAGACTTGATCTGTTATCTCATATTCCTTTTTCGTGGTTTTTAAATCGTAATAGGTCTTAACCCCTGTCGCTGCTTTTTCTAGATTCTTTTGGGCAAAAGCAAATGCATGCTGTAAATGCTTGCGCAAATCTTCAATATACTGATGCGTAGTGGCAGCATTGATCAAGTTATGATCCGAAGTACGATATAGTAAATGCTGTGGTAAAACCATCTTTCTTCCTGTCATCAATTCAAAAGGTGACAATTTGGTAGCAGTGCTAGGTGTAGCTCTAATCGCCATTAAAACTAGGGGCAATTTAATGTCCCAGTCTTTACCAGACTCCTTAACATATTTCTTCAGAATATTAACGATAGACTGGTTATATCGCTCTACCCCCCCGCTAGACGCAGCGCGGTATGCAATATGTAGCTTTCGTTTAACACCTAGAATGTTCCACATCTTAGCCATTACTTCGCTGGTAAAATGACTACCTCTGTCTGACTCAATTCTTTGAGGCAGACCGAACCTGGAAAAGACATGGTTAATCAACAAAGTGGCGCACACGGTACTCGTGTTCTCTTTACAAGGCAAACATTCTATCCACTTTGTGTACATACATGTAACGGTTAACATGTATTTGTTACCTCTTGAAGATCTTGTTACAGGACCTATAAAGTCAATTTGAATATCAGACCAGGGTAATGACACCCCCCTCTTCTGAAGTGGTGCACGATGGGTTGGACCATGGGGTTGATATTGCGGACAAATCAAGCATCCCTGACAGTATGTCTTAACATCCCTTAACATGTGTGGCCAATATGCATAATCACGCAATATCTCATATGTGATCTTATCACCACGATGCCCAGATGTAGGTGCATCATGTGCGTGTTGGAGCATTAACCCTCTGTATACAGTTGGGACTACCCATTGTTGTATACCATGTTTAGAAGTTCTGACCAGTAACCCATCCATGATACTAAATTGGACTTTATATCTCATCAAGATTCGTAAATCTTCATTATTTTTGCAATCCTCATCTGTGATGGGATTGGCAGTAGGGTCTTCTATATGTTTATAGAAAATGCCTATGACGGGATCATTCTTTTGACTGGTAATCAGGTCCTCACTAGGAGCTTCTTGACTCCATTGCACGACATTTAAGTCGGCATTATCTCTAGCCTGTCGTCTAGTTATGGCTTCAACATGAATTGAACCCATAAGATCATCAATGTTTAGGGTTTCACCATTGATGGCAGCTTGTTTTGCCAGTGAATCGGCTAAGTCATTACCATCCTTGTCAATACCTTCTATTTTAGAATGGCCTTTGGTTTTCTTCCAATATATGGTTAAACCATTTTCCTTAACCAGTTCATCGATTTTACAAAACAATTTCCCATGTTTAACAGGTTTGTTATTGCTTTTCAGCATTTGGTTACGTTTCCAGCTAGGCAGATATTCGACGAAACTGTTGCGAACATAGTTGGAATCAGTTATAATAACAAATTCTTTGATACCATATTCTATTGCCATTTGAATGGTCTTATATACTGCACAGAGTTCGGCTATCTGACTGCTTTTGGGACCAATATTGTATCCTATAGATACATTGGGATAATCACCTATCCAGGCGATTCCGATACCTGCAACTAACTTCCGTTCAGCACCAGCGGCGTGGTGATATGAACAACCATCAATGTATACCCACGGTAGTGGTCGACAGTATTCCTCGTCATAAACTTTATAAGGAGATAGCAATTGCTCTTCTAGGAAGTCATCTCCGGTGTCATTATCATCCAGAGATGGAGCAGTACAGTCATGTAATTCTGCTAAACCTTGGGCAACTGGGCTTCTCTTATTATGTTTATAACGGACTTCTAACGGCCATCCCTGTAAGGATAGAGTCCATGCAGTAATCCGACTGTTAGAGAGATTACCGTCTCTAATTCTTTCACTCTGCAGATACTGTAGAGGTTGGTGAGCTGTTTCTACAATTATTTTCTCACCTTGGATATAGCTACGAAAATTTTGTAGTGCCCAGACAGTCGACAATAACGCCTTCTCACACGTGTTGAATTTAACTTCAACAGGTGACAAAGTCTTGCTAGCATATGCAATAACTTTGTTTAAACTGTCCTGCTTCTGATACAGAACAGCACTTATGCTTAAATCGGTATATCCTGTCTCCAGATAGAAGGGTTTACCCCCCTCTGGGTATGCTAAACAGGGTGCCTGAGTGAGCTTCCTCCTCAGTTCACTTACCGCTTGGTCCTGAGGCTCCCCCCAGTTCCAGGTAGTTTCCTTTTTAAGCAGGTGTAAGAGTGGTTTAGTTATTTCTGCATAGTTATCTATAAACTTACGGGAGTAGTTAGTCATACCAAGGAACGATCTTAATTCCCTGATGTTTGAAGGTGTTTTAGCCTTTAGTACGGCTTCAACCTTCTTCCTCTGGGGATTTAATCCTTCAGAAGTTACCTCATGTCCGAGGAAATTGACATGGGTGCGACACCATTGTGCCTTTTGTAAAGACAGTTTAATCCCTGCCTCTCTTAACTGAGTGAGAACATGTCTAATCTCTAAGATATGCTTATCAAAGGAAGTGCTTTTCAGCAAGACATCGTCGACATATGATAACGTTCCTCTCTCGAGTGCGTCAGGCATAGCTTTATGCATGAACACAGCGAATTCATGACCAGAGTTTATATAACCGAAAGGCATACGGGTCCAGGTATACTGCTGCTTTCCAAATGTGAAGGCCAATTTGTATTGGTCTTCATTATGGACTGGTACAGTCCAATATCCCTGCGCACAGTCAATGGCAGTGAATATTTTGGATCCCTGCATTTGTACCAAACATTGGTCTATGTATGGCGTTGGCCAACCAGACATATAGACGCGTTTATTTAGCTGTCGTAAGTCAGCGCATAAACGCCATTGTCCATTAGGTTTCAGAATCCCCAAGATCGGATTATTATACGAACTGTGCACTGGACGTATAATGCCCCTTTCCTTTAAATTCTGAATGATGTCTTGTAGACCATCATATGACGCTAATGGGAGTCTATATTGTTTGATAAATACAGGTGGTAAATTTGGATCAGTTTGTATTCTGGCTACGTGGAGGTTAGTTAACCCACAGTCGTAGGAATCTTTGGCAAAAATATCTTGGAATTCCAAAAGGATTTCCTTTAGCTGTTGCCGCTCAGCATCGTTGGAGCAACCGTCAGCTAAAGATATTTGCTCTTCTAGCCTTTCCTGAAATCCTGGAAAGATTTCAGGCTGGCCTATCTCATAAGCTTCTTCAAGCCTAGAAGTTAGGTCAGTTCGGTGTTGACTTACCTTTTCTCTTTGGTCGAGATACTCTTGTGATTCCTGCTCATTGAGCGGATGATCGAAGGTAATTGATGCTTCTTCGATTTTACACGAGCCTTCTTCAACATTGAAGGGATACACAGATAGGATAGTGAATAATCCTTCTGGGGAGGAATGGAATATTTGATCGACAATTTCGTCCTCAGTTAAGTATTCTTCAGGGATGAGGCCTATAATTTTGTTTTGGAAACCAAATGTATAGTACTCAACATCCAATGCTAGACCTAATAATGTTCCTTTTGGTAAAGTAACACTATTGGGTGTAACATTGTTGACCATGATATAGGTGGGATTCTTACCAATACTTACCATTGGTGTATGTGTTACCACCATCCCTAATTGTTGTATCCTGTTGGATAAACAGATTAGGGCATCAGAGTTTTCCAATCTCTGACCCTCCTTGACCTGTAGGGGTAAAAGAAAATTACTTGTCCCCTGTGGAATGGTTATGTCATCAGGAACTTGGATACTTACCGCATATGGGAGTATTTGTCCTGATTTCAGGGCGTTTTCCTCGTGTAGGTATCCACAAGGATTACCTTTTAACCTTGTCCACAAGTTGGAATTAATCAGGTCAAGGTGTATGGCAAAGCGATGTATGACATCATTGCCAACGTAAACCTGATAGCGAGGTTCGTTTATCACTAAGAATAAATGTTTAACTGTCTTATTTCCGATGGAAATAGATAGTAAACATTTTGCTATCACATTGTGACTCTCTGATTCGCCATCCAGATTCTGGATCCACCTGTCATGTGGGGAAGCGTACCTGATCATTTTAGGATTAGCGATCTGCTTTAACAGACTTCTGCTAATATAGCTGTTCTCACTCTGTAAGTCCAGCTTTGCATTCCTACTTCTTCCTAAGTCATGTATTTGAATAGAATAAGTTGTTATTAACCCTTTCAATTCTGGCAAGGAATTGAGCATGACCTGCCAGATCTACAGATTCAACATAGTCCCTGTGGAGAGAAATGGTTAAAACATCACCTTCCAGAGAGACATTCTGGATCCTCTCTGGAGCAATTCTTATGGAATGCTCATCTACAGGTGCGATTGCATCATTCACCTGCAGGATAGTCACGTCAGGTGACTGACTATTTCTAAAATGTACCTCTATCGAGTCAGGTCTTTCTTCTATCACATGGCAGTTACGATCAGATTGTACATGTGATTTCTCATAGGTTATGGGAACCTTAGCTTGTGACCATACAATTCCATTTACACAGTCAATAATTGTGTTAAGTCTTCTGAGTATGTCTATACCCAGAATCAGTCGGTCATAGGGGAGATCTACCACTATCACCGGGTGTCTAAAGGTTTTGTTACCTATTTTAAACTTTAACCAGGTATTGCCAATAACATGAAGGGCATTTCCTCCTACACTCAACAGAGCATTGGGGAAATCTCTTAGCTTCGGCTTATCCGTTGCTAAGTCCATTACCTGCTGGAAGTAGGTATTGGATAAGATAGTGGCTTGTGAACCAGTATCTATTAACCCTTTAAAAGGCTGGGGTAGCGAATCCTGTATTTCTACAGACATGTAGTACCTTCCTTCATGTTCTTCTAATTCACATAAGAATTTAGAATGTGTCAACATATTACTTGTTTTCCATACATTACCGGTCACAGCAGTAGTTTCTACCTGTACTGAGGAATGCTCAGTCTTACCCACAGGCCCATCCTTTTTAGGAATATCTTGAACTGTCAAGCGGGAACTAGTGGTCGGCATCTCATCAGTTAACCCTTTCAGGTCTGGATCCTGGAAACTAGTGGCTGCTGGGGCTACTTTAGCCTTTGGCTGAAATGAAAAAACAGAGGAACACGTTGCGCCTCCTTCACCCGGAAGTGAAGTGACGGTATAGGCAATAGGTTTTCTAACACAACTATTGTTTGTTTGACTGTTAGTACCTGGAAAGGAAACAGGGTTAGGTATTACATCTACTGATAACCTAGCCTGTTTAGTCACAGTGGCTATTATTGCTGCGGCACCTGTTGTTGTTGCTGCGGTTGCACAGGTAGTTCTGCAATTGGAGCTATCCCTAAAAAAGGATTTAGAGCAAAGACTTGGTTAATCTTTGTCATTTCCTCCATTAATTTGCCCATCTGGTCTGTCAATTGACCAACCTGACGACGCAAATTATTTCCCCCATTGCCGTTTTGTCTTTGCCCATTAGAATTTGGCTGGGATGGCTGAGACTGTTGGGAGTTATTGGAAGCAGATTGGTTGTTTCTGTTTCCATATCTCCTATTTCCCTGAGGATTCCTTCTCCATTGGGAATTGCCTTGGTTCTTATTAACCCAGGGGCGTTTATTCCCATTGGCATTGGATTTTTCAGAGTTATTAGAGGAATTTGCAGAATTGCTTCTGGCATTTTCCTGTTTCTGAGGTTTTGGTGTTTTCAAAACCTCGGAATAGGTCCTCTTTTTCTGTTGGGTTTCTAAACCTAACTGAATTTTAGTCTCTGACACCATTTTATCACCAGGTTTCTTAACCTTTGGCTGATTTTCGTCATGTGCATGGTGTATAGTGTACAACTTCATGCACTGACTGACTAGCCATTCTAATGGTAACTTACAATCGTAATCTCTTGCGAGATTCATTTGTATGTTTACCGGCATGGCATGAAAATACAGATCTTTGAAGTCTGTGCTTTCATACCTGGGTTTCCTTTGGGCCACGGAGTATGCATTTTTAAGAATTATTAAAAATTCTCTGGGGCTTTGATCTGGACGGCACTTTAAGTTATAAAGCGCCTTCTTTGCAGAGGCAATGGTTTTATACTTACCATATTCCATGATTATTTCATATTTCATCTTGGACCAGGACATTAACTGTATAGCTTGAAGACTTTCTAGATAAACACGACACATTGAATCAAAGGTCCATGTAATGAACCATTTCTTATGAATGTCATCATACATGCCCAATGAATTCATTGCTCTATCATAATTTTCCAGATGTTCAGATATGTTTCCTGAACCTCTAGAAAATTGTGGGACAGTCTCTCTAAGGAATTTGATGACCTTTGGTGTTTCATAAACAGGCGTCGTTGATTTACGACCTCTGTTTCTGTGTTTGGGTAAACGTCTATGCGATCTGTCTGCTGAAGAGGAATTAGACCCGTACAACAGTGCAGATGGCATATCAGTTACATGGCCTTCAGAGTGGACAGTGCAATCACTTTCACTCCCATCACTCTGAGCTTCTTGTTCACTGTCACAATTCTGATCAGCATCAGAATTCTGCCAGTGTACAGAACCATGTCTGTTTTCATTCCTATCATCTTGAATTGGACTCTCCCTCTCAAGTTTGGCCAAGACAGCTTTTTCAAACTGTTCTGCCCAAGATTGCCAAGGTGGCTTGGTAATGTCATGAGATGGGGAATCTTGTTCCACAGGTGATTTTTTTTTTAGAATTACTCACACCTTTACTTACAGACTGTTTTATGAAAACCTGGTTTGGTGTGGGAAAATCATAATAAGGAGGGGATTTACAGATAGTCTTTCCTTGCATTTTTGTGCAACTTTTTGGCACAGAATGATGACTACCAACCTCACTGTCTAATTTCTGACTCTCCTTTTCATACTCATCCAATTGCATTTTAAGCTGATTTATTTCCTGTGCATATTTATCCGTCAAAGCTTTCATTTCTTTTTCATGATCAGCCTGACGAGTTTTATGCTCAGCAAGTAAATCTTGGTATTTCCCATTTTGAATGCCCAAATCGTCACTGTACGTGTCCAATTTGGCATTCAATGACTTGTTTTCATCACACACCTTAAGAAGTGCTGTCATAAAGAAAGGCCAAGAGTGTATTATGTACGCCATTTTCCTTTCTATGTTCTTTTGTTCAGCAATTTCTTTAAGATATATGATGATGTGTTCATCAGTTAGAATGGTTTGTTTAGCTTCCCATTCTATGCTTTTCAACCAAACCTCATAGGTTGCATCATTTTTCATATGTTTATGAATATGAACTAGAGCATGTTTTCTTAGGTCTTCAATTATTTCAGTATTATCTGTTACAGATTTATCACTGCCACTGGCCATTTTTATTTTTATTTTATTGATCTCAATACAAAACTCTTTTCTATATTAAGATTAAATTGCATGAATTACACCAATATTATTATTATATATGAAATACAATTTCAACTTAAACGATCTCAGCAGCGCCTCCAATATGTGGGGATATTTATGGGATAATAATAGTAAACAGTTGAGAATTGCCCACTAATTCAATTCTCAGATCCCAAATAACGTTTATCGTAAGTGAAAGTATTTCATATAAATAATATCATAATCTTTTTTTATAAAAATAGATTTTATTTTTAATGACAAGTTAATTAATAATAATATATGTAACATGCATGACAATAATCAATGAATATTCAGTATAAAATGGTATGCAATACAAAGAAATGGGTATTACGTTTCAATGGCTAAACGGCATTATCTGTCAAGACTTCTACGATTTATGACTAGCTTTCACAGACTTAAAGTGAAACTTTTCACAGCGAAGAACAGAATTCCTCAGAGTGCAGCGTAAGGTCGTAAAGTTTAGCAGACAGTTAGAATAACCCTTTCAATGCTGGCTAGATCTCCTAGGTAGTTAAGATCTATTCTTATGTAATTTTTAAATAAAATAACATTTAAACCAGTTCACTAGTCATTTTCTTAAACCATCCAATAAGAGAATTTAATATATTATATAAGCAGATTTTTAATTTGTCTAAAAGATATCTATCTTAATTTAGAGCAAATCAATACACCTGGATAAAAACAGCGGTATGCTAACACGTGATAATATCACATCAATATATAATTATTCTTAATTCCACCTGCAGAATGGAATGTTTATAACTATATATTCTTAGTTAACTAAGATTTCTTAATATGGAAATCTGACCGTGCTTTATCCAGTCATATATAATGCTATTAATACATTTTAATTAATTTAATTTAATTAAATGAAACCAGTATAATTACCAGTTGAGTAGATATTTCATCCGATTGGTAGTCTCTCTGCATGGAGGTGTTGGTTAGAAAGTCAGTAAATTCTAAGTGTTAGAGTTTTAGGAGTAGAGTGTTAGTCTCAGATGTTGTCCGAGTTGGAGTCCCCAAACTTCCAATTCCTCTCCTTTCTCTCCTTTGCATATCTTGCATCTGCCTCCTTCGTATTTCTCTATCTTCCCTTTGTCTTAACTTTTAAAGGGCCAGACTCTCTGTACGTCATCAGTTGATAACCCAATAGAAGCACTAGAGGTGTGGTTATCTTCCAGATCGCAAATTAGTTATTTGGTCTGTAGAGGGCAGTCTTGTCCCACTAAACATACCTATCCAGGAAAGAGTTAACTCTTCCTGGTGACTATTTTGACGTCATTTTGCGTTATCTTTATAGTGCCATAATTTAAAATTTCAAAGGATTTCTTAAATTTTGTCCAGACTTAGCGACTGCAATTCCTGCCATAATTTCTGATATGACAGATCATGAACTAAGTTTACCCTTTTCCATACAATGGTACCATATATATATATATATATATATATATATATATATACAGTTAAATATTAAATTATTTAATCTTCTCTGTCACAATTGTCTGGGTTTAGATTTGATTATATTCCATTAGCATTAGACAGTCTGTCCAACCCCCTTCCTTATCACTTGTTTATACTATGCATTCCTTAGCTCTGGCAAAGAGGCCAGTCTTACAGAAAGAAATCTAGTGTCTTCTTTGTTAACTTGAAATAACAAAATGGAGTCTGATCTGTTCAGAGTGACTCAGAATATACACTTTTAGTTTCTATCATAGCACAAAATGTCTGCCGATATAAATACTCTGACACCACTCAGACAGCTGTTACATTGTTAGTGCAACTCATCAGCATGAGGTTGGTTACTGGCTTGCTAAGTGAGGCTTGGCATTACTTGCAGAGTACAAACCAAGAAAGTTATGGTCTGGGGAACAAAATAATTGTCTGTTTTGCTTTACATCTATTTGCGACTCCACTGTTTGTTAATCTGACCTGTTATCTTCTCCTACTTGGCAAATATCACGCTCTATGAATTGTATGCTAACGTTCAACTTCCATCCATTAAAAGATCCTAAGGACTGCAATCTTGCTAGAGTGTGTGTGTGTGTGTGTGTGTGTGTGTGTGTGTGTGTGTGTGTGTGTAGGTAGTAGGATCAGGGAGCAGCGTCTGTGAAGGAATTCCCAAGCTCAGAGCGATATGGAGGAGGGAAGGAAAAAGACACGCATCTAGTGTAGTATATTGAGATCTTAAGTGATGGTAAATGAAGGGAAAGGAATTGCACTTACAATTTTCTGGAGCCTATACTCTGCTCCAGATATGTGCGCCTGGACGGTACAATCCCCGCCTATGGATATGTAGATGGTCCTTGGTTGTCCTCAAAAAGGGGGTCTCCAGTGGTGCTAGGGTATATCTCCTTTCCAATGGCAGTATGCTGGTATTCGAAAATTTGGTGATATATAAAAAGGATAAAAACACAAAATAGTGCTCTCTGGATAATACAAAATAAAATGATTAAAAAAATGGAGGTATACTCACAAGTGCAGAGCAAATAGGATATTGCTCAATATATGTAGGCGTGGGTGGTATGATCCCCACCAAGGATATCACTCCTCGAGTCCTCCAGCGGGGGTGTTGGTGAGAGTAAAAGTAATTATATTATAAAATAGAATAAAAAGGATAGGCTTGGAGGCTGGGAAACCCCCTTTTTGAGGAGTATAGGCTCCAGAAAATTGTAAGTGCAATTCCTTTCCCTTCATTTACCATCACTTAAGAGCTCAATATACTACACTATATCCGTGTCTCTTTTTCCTTCCCTCCTCCATATCGCTCTGAGCGTGGGAATTCCTTCACAGGCGCTGCTCCCTGATCCTACTACCTACATCCATCGTACCACCAGAAAAGAAGAGACTCTGGTTTTTGGGAAGTTTCAGCAGCCACATACTACAATTGCTACAATTACTGATATTCCTCCTACCCCTCCGTGTGTGTGTGTGTATAATGTATGTATATTTATTACATCTATGTTCTTAAATGGACAATATAATCACCCAGACCACTTCTGCTAATTGAAGTGGTCTGGGTACAGTGTCCCTATTGCCCTTAGTTGTGCAATGTAAAACATTGCCGTTTTAGAGAAACTAAGACCGCCTCTAGTGGCTGTCTATCAGACAGCCACTAGAGGTGCTTCCTGTATCTTAAAAGACTTTAGGTCACCTAACGGACGCTGGACATGCTCATTAATACAATGCTTTCCTATGGGAAGAATGTTGGAAAGGAGGAGGCACAGGCTGCAAGAGCTAGCTCCTAACAGCCTCAGCCTGGTCTCATGAACCCAAAAGGTAGGAAACTGGAGGGTGGCTATAACAGTGTATATTTTGACCTGTATGTGCCTATCAGTGTGTGTGTATCTGTCAGTGTGTGTGTAAGAAGTAAAGATAACTAAAACTATCTTTAACTCATTGAGGTATACATGTTTGTTTTCCCAGCACTATATAATTATCCTTTCTGATCCATTGCCAAGCTAATTTGCACAAAATCTATCAGCTAAATTTTAAATTTACTTATCTCTGTCATGCCAAGGATTCAGGAAACAGAGTAGGTGATGTGTGCTGATTTTTCGCTTGTGCACTCCCTCAGTAAGACATACTGAAGACATCACATCACGACTAGAGGAGAAGATAATGGTGGCTCCTGCATATTGAAAGCCAGTGCAAGGAAGAAAATAAAATACATGTAATGAAACACTAGTGGAAAGGCTGGGATATAACCAAAAGTATTAAAAACATTTTATAAAAATGAGCATTTCTATATTTTCTTATTGCAGGGTGAAAATGTAGCCATTGCAACCCCTGGTTTGTGTAATGTAGGACCCCTAATCAGTAATGTAATGTAGGATTTGGCATTTTGTTTTTCTGGGTAGTGATTTTAGAAATGCGTTCAACCACATGCACTCTACTTCCCTGAGCAGTGTATTAATCATTTATATTTTTAGGATTAAGACTATCTTCTAACAAACACTACCTCCATTTGAATATAATGTGATTTATGTCTAAACTATATTGCCAAATATAGGTTTTGGAGATCTGAACAGTTTGACTCATTCCATGTTTTATGAGAGACATTACATTTTATGGATAGATAGAATGAAATTATATGTATATGTATGTGGATGTAGTGTTCCTTCTAGTGAAATCTTATTAAGTAAAATGGTATATAATTTTATTATTGATTTATTTTTAACTACCTCTTTTGCAGTCACACTTTATATCTGCCCTCACTGTTGTATTTGTAAACTCCAAATCCCTTTCATCACTAAAAATTGACGATACTCCAGTGGATGACCCATCATTGAAGGTACTCGTGGCTAACAACAGTGATACCTTGAAGCTTTTAAAGATGAGCAGTTGTCCTCATGTTTCTCCTGCAGGTAAGACTGACTTTATAGATGGTGTTCTGCTGTAAGTACTTTTTTCACTTTTAATTATGTATGCCAATTGTGTATTCTTTCAAAATAGTGTTAAAATAAAGCTAGTAACTGTCTGTATGTCTTCTAAGATTTTTGTATCTGTCTTCATAAACAGAGCTTGCATATGTACATGCTGCAGGAATTGTAAATGTGTCCCGTTTATTGTTAATTTATATAATGCACAAAACATGGCATCCCAACTCGAATTGCGCTTGTTAATTAGTGTTTGCTAAAATCTGAGCGTCTAGAAATACTTTACTTTGAAGCGTTGTTAGCTCAATGCACAGCTTTACAAAGCTCAATTGTCTGTGGTCAGTGTTAAACTGGGCCAGAAAAAATGCATCTAAACATACCCAACGCTAATCCATATTTCAAGTCCCAACTAGCCGTAATTCTTAATAACCAAGTCCTCACTAATATTATTCGGATCATGACAGAGCTGTGCAATGCTGTGCTTTGATCTGACAGTTCTTCAGCAGTGAAGATTTTAAAAGGCGATGAATTGAAAGTACCCAAATTTTCACATTATAACGAGATTGATCTCAAATGTATTGTTATGCAAAAAAAAATAAACCTGGAGGAAAAAATAATGGTGCATTGTTTTGTATTATAGGAATACTCTGTGTTGCTGATCAGTGTCACGGGTTGAGAGAGTTGGCCCTGAACTATTATTTGCTTAGTGATGAGCTCCTGCTTGCATTATCTTCAGAGAAACATGTCCGACTGGAACATCTACGCATCGATGTTGTGAGTGAGAATCCAGGGCAAACACACTTCCATGCAATTCAGAAAAGCAGCTGGGATGCTTTGATAAAGCATTCTCCCAAAGTGAACTTGGTCATGTACTTTTTTCTTTATGAAGAGGAATTTGATCCATTTTTCTGCTATGAGACACCAGTTACCCATTTGTACTTTGGGAGATCAGTAAGCAAAGAAGTGCTTGGTCGTGTTGGTATGACATGTCCACGATTAGTGGAGTTGGTCGTATGTGCTAATGGACTTAGGCCTCTTGATGAGGAGCTGATTCGAATTGCGGAGCGTTGCAAGAGCCTAACTGCCATTGGACTTGGGGAATGTGAAGTCTCGTGCTCTGCTTTTGTAGAGTTTGTTAAGCTGTGCGGTGGCCGTCTTTCCCAACTTTCCATAATGGAGGAAGTGTTAATCCCTGATCAGAAGTTTAATTTGGAGCAAATCCATTGGGAAGTTTCAAAGCACCTTGGAAGAGTTTGGTTTCCAGATATGATGCCTACATGGTAGAATTTTAAAACCAGTAAAAAAAAAAAAAAAAAACACTGGAAATATGAAAAGAGCACTTTAAATTTCCAAATCTAATGCATGGCAATCAACTAAATTAATTTTGTTTTCTTTCTTCTTTGCTTTAATTAGAGGGAAAATAAATGTATCAGTAATGACATAGAATCCTTTTACTGCATTGGTTTTAATTTGTATATTTTTTATTGACTTAAAATATGTGTATATATGTATCCAGACCAGGTCTCGTTTTACTGATCTACATTTGCATCTTGTATTCCAATGTAAAATTATATTGCCTTTATGATAAAATATAAGAGCATTGTAAATATTTTCCCCATATTCTTTCCAGTTTCTTGTCTATATTTTTTTTTTTTTTTTTTTAAATTCAAATTATTTATGTGCTTGGATACAATGGCCGTGTGTGTGTGTGTGTGTGTGTATTTTCTTTTGCATGTTGAAATTAGAGAGAATTTTTTTTTTTTTTTTTTAATCCTTCAAAAAGTACATTACAAATAAACCAGTGCACAGTAGTGATTATAAATCTAACAAATAACACTGGGTTATTTTTGTTTAGATAACATCACTTGATTGGTAGTTTCTTTTAAAAAGATTTACAAAATAAACCCTCCAGATGTCCCCATTAACCACTTAGGGACGGGTGACGGACGAGGTCCGTCACAGAGGGGAGACCCTTAATGACGAGTGACGGACCTCGTCAGTCACGTGGTAAAATTAACTCCGGATCGCCGCGATCGCGGGGTTAATGGTGCTCCGGTATGCCTCTGTATTAGAGGCATACCGGGAGCACCCGGTCAGGCTGCCCAGCACATGTGCTCGCTCTGACCGCATGTCAGAGCGAGCACATGTGCTCTGTATACTCACCTTCCGGCTCCCTGCACTTCCTGGTTCTGTGTGAAGTGCAGGGAGCCTGAACAGTGCTAATCCTGCCCCCTGCTGGGAAAAAGTTAGTTTAAAGTCCTCCCCCCCTTATCCATTTTAATTTAAAAAAATTAACCCCTTCCCTGCCAATTGATCACTGACTACAGTGATCAATTGGTATGATCTGATATTTATTTTTTTTAAACCCCTGAGGGTTCTTTTTTTTTTTTTACCCTCAGGGGTTAAATTTATTTATTTAATTAAAATATTTTAAAATTATATATTTAGCTAGCTGGGGTGGGTGGAAGTTAGTGGGGAATTTGGCGTTAGACTAACTAGGGGTTAACGTTAAAAGTTTTAAAAAAACTTTAAAAAGTTAACTTTTTTTTTTTTTAAAGCTTAATTTTTAACGTTTAAGTAAAAAAACAAAAAGCCTTTACCTAGTCCAAATAAAAATTAACCCCTTCCCTGCCAGTCGATAGTATTATACTTTGATCTAATTTTTTTTTAACCCCTGAGGATTAACTTTTATTTTTTTTAACCCTCAGGGGTTCAATTTATTTAATTAATTTAAATATTTTATAACTATATATTTTGCTAGCTGGGATGGGTGGGAGTTATGGGAAAATGGGGAATTTACTGTTAGTGCTGCTTACTGCTAGTTTAGGGGTTAAAGGTAAAAAATAAAGCTTAGAAAAATTTAAAATCTGTAAAAAAGTTTTAAGAAAGTTTAGGAAAGTTTAAAAAAAATTAAGTAAAACAAAAGTTTAAAAACTAGTTTTAAAAAGTAAAAATGAAAAAATACATTTTAAAAACTCTCATTACCACTACACCTGGAACAAACTAGAGAAAAAATTATCCCACGCCAAGGTTCAAAATATGCCTTTTGAATTACCCCAGGGTGTATTCTTTAATAAATAGTATGTGTTTGTGGGGAAGTTTCAATAACCAACCGTCTAAAACTACTCCAAATTGAAACATGGACACAGCGTAAAACTTCAAAGTTAGAAAAAAACTGGCTGCATCTCAAATGTGCCCATTCAACATCCACATATACCTGGCAAAGGTACATACGGGGGTATTGCTGTACTCAGCCGACATAGCTGAGCAACATATAAAGTATTATACAGTCATAAGGTTTGCAAAATATGCTGCAGAAAAAAAATGCTTATTACCACTACACAAGCTAGCAGAAAAATGATCCCACGCTAAGGTTCAAAATATGCCTTTTGAAATATCCGGGGATGTCTTCTTTAAGAAATGGTATGGCTTTATGGGGTATTTGGATTATATAGTCTGGTAAAATACTCTAAAATGGGACATGGACACAGCGTAAAAATTCAAAGTTTTGAAGAAAAAAAAAAATGGAATGGCTGTGTCCCAAAGGTGCCCCTCCGATGTCCACACATACCTGGCAAAGGTACATACGGAATATTGCTGTACTCAGACGACATAGCTGAGCAACATATGAAGTATTATACAGTCGTAGCACACATAAGGTTTGCAAAATATACTGTGCAAACTCACTTTGTATGTCAAAAAGGCAGAAAAAACGCTTATTACCACTACATCTGGTACAAGCTAGCGGAAAAATGATCCCACGCTAAGGTTCAAAATATACCTTTTGAAACACCCTGGGGTGTCTACTTTAAGAAATGGTAGGCCTTTGTGGGGTAGTTTGAATTTAAACCCTGCTAAGATGCTTGGAAATTGCACATAGGCCCAGCGTCAAAATTCACAGTTTGGTAAAAATGGATATGGCTTGGTCTCCTATATGGCACTGTAGCTTCACGAAATAGTGCCAAAAATATACAATGGGGGTGTCCTTTTACTCAGAAGACTTAGCTGAGCATAATTTGGGGTGTTTGAACTTAGTGGCACATATGAAATATACAAAACGCCCAGCAAAAATGCACAAAATTATTTTTTACCACATACTTTGGTATATATTGGTGAAAAAATGGGGGCATGCCAAGGCACAATATGCACTTTATGAGATACCCTGGAGTGTCTACTTTTACAAATGGTAGGCCTTTGTGGGGGGTTTTGAACAGTCAAACTGTTATAATACCCCAAATAGAACCTAAGGCTCATTAAAACCATCTCTCAAAATTCTACTGTGAATACTGAAAAGGACAGGTATCCTGTATGGCACGGTAGCTTCACGAAATAGTGCAAAAGACATACAATGAGAGTGTCATTTTACTCAGCAGATGTAACTGAACAAAAAATAAAACTTTGTACAGGAATAGCACACACCAACTTTACAAAATATACATGAGAATTTCTTTGTTATAAGTTTGTGTGCCAAAAACCAAAAAAAACAATTTTACTCCAATATTTAGCAGAGGTTGGCAGTGAAATGGCTACGTAGAAAGTGTCAAAACAACCTTAGGTAAATAGCCCGTGATGTCTACTTTATATAAATATATACTTTTGTGTGGCAATTTTGTTTTCTTTTATGGCTATTAAGCTTACAAGACAAACATACCAAATTCTAAAATCGCTCCACATTAAAAGTTTATTTTACTCCTTGTGCTTTGTGACCTGTAACTACCAAAAAAAACTTAAAATCCCAGACACATTATATATTCTGTAAATCAGAACAACTAAATTAATTTATTTTTAATTACTTTTCTTAACCTGCACTAATTATGCACACATTATTATTGCAAAAACTGTAAAAAAAAAAAAAATCTGTATTTTTTTTATAATAAGCATTTATATATATGTGTGTTACATCAAATTAAAGCCCTTTCTGTCCTTTAAAAACGATGTATAATATGTGTTGGTGCAACAAATTAGTAAAATGCAAATTGCAGTTGAACGCAAACAGCAAAAAATGAAAAAAATGCCGTTGTCATTAAGTGAAAGTTAAAGACAGAGGCAATTGTACAGGTCTAAACAAAACCTGGAATTTGCTCTATACGGGCATACCTCACAAGTACACAATGGGACCAGAGCATGTATGTAAAACACAAATGTACTTAAAGCAGGACTCGACAAATCCCAGGCACATGGTCGCCATGGCGACTAAATATTTTGCCCTGGCGCCTGGGCTTGGTCAGCCCGTTCCCTCTCTCCTGTCTCAATCCCCATGCAGCTCTCTGTGCGCCGGGAGGAAGTGAAGAACTGTAAGTACTTCCTACCGGTGACTGGCAAGCTAACCTGGCAGGACACGAGGTAAATACTGCTCTGCCACCATGCCACAGAGCCGAACCTGTTCCCCGCCCGCATGCCGCAGTGTCAGCCGGCCGCCCTTAACACTGCGCGACATCATCGCCGGGAGGAAGTTATTACAGTTCCCTTGACTGACACACACTGACGGAGACAGACACTTTGTTCAAAATCCCTATCGTGCTTTTTAAAAAGAGCCACGGTGCATGCTATCAAGATGGCGGAAAACTTCAAAGAGAATTTTTGGAGTGAAACCTTCAGGCTGTTCAATTATCTCAACCCCATCCTGCATATTTTCTCTCTCCTTTTCAAGTTATAGAAGATCTAGCTTTTCCAGACTTTGGATAGGACTTCTTCACCTGCTCCTTCTTCTTTGTCTATTGCTGCAATACACTTACTGAATGTTCTTTTTAAGTAGTTCAACTTGAAGGCAGCTATGATACCTTGATCCATGGGCAGCAGTAGTGAGGTGGTATTTGCTGGTAGGATTTGCACTCGAATGTTAGGGTTCAACATTATCAACAAGCAGCAAAATGTGGAAAGGGATATTGTTGTCCTTGCAGTAGGCTTTCACCTCTGGAACAAAGCAGGTGTCAAACCAATCTTCAAAAAGGGCTGCAGTTACCCATGCTTTTTTATTAGCTCTCCAACGTACTTGAAGTCTAGTTTTAATGTAGTTCTTCAAAACGCTCTGATTTTCCCATCAGTAAATTAGCAAAGGCTTTAGCTTTAAGCTACCAGACGCCTTGCCACTTAACAGAAGTGTTATTCTATCTTTAGCTGGCTTGTAGCCTGCATTGATTTTTCCTGTCTTGCGATGAAGGTTCTTGCAGGCATCTTATTCCAGAATAATCCAGTCTCATCCACATTAAAAATCTGACCCATGGAGTAGCCTCCATCTTGAATAATTTTGGTAAGATCGCTTGGGTTGTTTTCTGCAGCCTCAGTATCTGCAGCAGCTGCCTTTCCTTGTACTTTTATGTAGGTTTGAACCTATCAAACCATCCACGTCTTGCATAAATTTCTGCATCCTTTGCTGCCTTACATTTCTTAGCCTTTAAGTCATTGAATAGGCTTAAGGCTTTACTTTATATAATTGCCTTGTTGACAGGAACATAGCGTGCAGTCTGATTTTCTATCCAAAGTATTAAAGGACCACTAAAGGCACCCAGACAACTTAAACTCAATGAAGTGGTCTGGGTGCCAGGTCCCCCTAGTTTTAACCCTGCAGCTGAAAACATAGCAGTTTCAGAGAGCAAATAGAAGTTCCTAGAGCAGGGCTCGAGTCCTGCAGGAACGCCGTTCCCCCTGCAGGCACTCAGGGGGCGGCAAAAAATGCCGCCCCCAAATGCCCCCCCTTGTTTCCCCTGTCATGGGGGGCCACCTGGCGAACGGCTCTCTCCCTGTCACACGCGGAGAGGGAGCTGTGTGCTCTCTGCTCCCTCTCGCCGCGCGGGATGTCTGCTGATGCTGGGAGCCGGAATATGACGTCATATTCCGGCTCCCAGCATCAGCAGACATCCCGCGCGGCGAGAGGGAGCAGAGAGCACACAGCTCCCTCTCCGCGTGTGACAGGGAGAGAGCCGTCCTCACTGCAGCCCCACTGGACCCCAGGGAAAGGTAGGGATGCTGGGTGGGTGGGAAATGTTAATTTTTTTATATTATTATTAATTTGTATATATGTCTGTTTGTGGATGTCTGTTTGTGGATGTGTGGATGTGGATGTCTGTTTGTGGATGTGTGGATGTCTGTTTGTGGATGTGTGGATGTCTGTGGATGTGTGGATGTCTGTTTGTGGATGTCTGTTTGTGGATGTCTGTTTGTGGATGTGTGGATGTCTGTGGTGTGGATGTCTGTGGATGTGTGGATGTCTGTTTGTGGATGTCTGTTTGTGGATGTGTTTGTGGATGTCTGTGGATGTGTGGATGTCTGTTTGTGGACGTCTGTTTGTGGACGTCTGGATGTGTGGATGTGTGGATGTCTGTCTGTGGATGTCTGTCTGTGGATGTCTGTCTGTGGATGTCTGTTTGTCTCAGTGTGTGTAGGAGTGTATTTATGTCTGTTAGCGTTTGTACGTGTGTATGTGAGTGTATGTGCTTCTGTTAGTGTATGCATGTGTATGTTTGCAATTGCATGTATGTGCATACGTTATTGTAAGTTTCTGTCAAATAAGTGAGAGTCTGTCATTTAGTGTGTGTGTGACTATTAGTGTGTGTCTCTCTGTCAATGAATGAGTGTGTGTCAGTGAATGTGTGTGTCATTGAATGTGTGTGTTACTGTCAGTGTGTATCTGCCAGTGTGGGTGTCTGTCAGAGAGTGTGCTTAAAGGGACACTATAGGCACCCAGACTACTATAGCTCCTTGAAGTGGTTTGGGTGCAGTGTCCCAGTCCCCTTAAACCTTCTCAGAAACTGCAATAATTACCTGAGGGGTAACTCCAAGTCTAGTGGCTGTCTATCAGACAGCCACTAGAGGGACTTTCGGGTGGTTAGGTGACCAAAAGTCACCTAACTGATGCTGGACGTCCTCACCCTGTGCATGAGGACATCCAGCATCTGCTAAATACCCATAGGATTTTAACCCCTCCAGTGTCGAGTGGGGGAGGGGAGGACATGAGAGGAGGGGGGCACTATACGGAATTATAGTGCCAGGAAAACAACTTTGTTTTCCTGGCACTATAGTATTTCTTTAAAAGGAGCAGGAAAAGGTGGAGTCTAAAGAGGAAGGGGTGGGTTCTTAATCAAGAAGCGGTGTGCCCTTGACATGAAGGAGTGGTAAATTTAGATTAGGGGGGTGCTCTATAGTCATGTCTAGGGCAGCATAAAATTAAAATACACCACTGTGTGAGTGTATGTGTGTGTATATATATATATATATATATATATATATATACATACATACATATATATACATACAAGTGTTTTGGGGTTTTTTTGGGAGAGTTCCCACACTTTTTTCCCCAGGACCTAGAGTATGTACAGGTACTGTAACTGGATTTCAAAATTATCCCTAAATTATTAAGCTTAAATTCACTGACAGGCTGTAGTGGGTGTGGTCAGGGATTGTAGAGGGGTGTCAGGGGATGTAGAGGGGGTTCAGTGCTCTAGGTGGGTGGGCATGGGCAGTAGTGGGGGGCAGGGGGTTGGGCTCTAGTGGAGTGTCAGGGGCAACAGCCATGCCAGTCTTCCTAGCCTTTATGGTGCTCTTCTTCCAGTGAATTAAGGAGGGGGAAAAAGGGATCATCTGGTCATCCCTTTCTGTGACAGATCTGCTATGACAGCCTGAAATTATTAAACAATATAAGGATACGTTAGACATCAGTATATTAGGTGGAACGGTCTAATCAAGAAAACAGATTTGTATAAAGCTTTTTTCACTTATGTTTATATATTTTTTTTCTTTCTTTACAGACAAATCCAAACTACAGTGAAGAGAAAAATAAATGTGTCAGGGGCTCTAGTGGGTGGGGGGGTCAGGGAGTGAAGGGAAAATAGGTTTCACACCGTAAAATATACAGGTACATCAACATGTGGCATCAACTCTGGCGGGCAACACTAATCTCGCTGGCGAACAGCAACTCTGGGGCATGGGACTGATGGGAACTTCGGCCATACTGCGGCTGCATGGTGCGGAAATGTCCGTACTCGTAAGGCACTTGAACGTACACTCGCAAGTGTACGTAAAGTGAGGGTATGCCTGTATGTTGTGCAACCATAATTTACCTCTGTCATATTACGTGCACCCACACTTATATATCATTTATATATGAAATGAAAGCCGTTTCTCCTGAACAAAATGTTACATAATAAGTGTGGGTGCATGTAATATGAAAGAGGTAATATGTGTAATTCATTGTAGTAAAAGTTAAAATGCCATACAGAACTTGAAAAATAACAAAATATCATTTTTTAAAATGTAATTCATATGAAATTATGATATATAGATGTGTATATTTTTTAGATTTTATTCATATTTATGATATACACTGCTCAAAACAATAAAAGGAACACTTAAACAACACAATGTAACTCCAAGACAGTCACACTTCTGTAAAATCAAACTGTCCACTTAGGAAGCAACACTGAGTGACAATCAATTTCACATGCTGTTGTGCAAATGGGATAGACAACCGATGGAAATTATAGGCAATTAGCAAGACACCCCCAATAAAGGAGTGGTTCTGAAGGTGGTGACCACAGACCACTTCTCAGTTCCTGGCTGATGTTTTGGTCACTTTTGATTGTTGGCGGTGCTTTTACTCTAGTGATAGCATGATACGACGTCTACAACCCACACAAGTGGCTCAGGTAGTGCAGCTCATCCAGGATGGCACATCAATGTGAGCTGTGGCAAGAAGGTTTGCTGTGTCTGTAAGCGTAGTGTCCAGAGCATGGAGGCGCTACCATGAGACAGGCCAGTACATCAGGAGACGTGGAGGAGGCAGTAGGAGGGCAACAACCCAGCAGCAGGACCGCTACCTCCACCTTTGTGCAAGGAGGAACAGGAAGAGCACTGCCAGAGCCCTGCAAAATGACCTCCAGCAGGCCACAAATGTGCATGTGTCTGCTCAAACGGTCAGAAACAGACTCCATGAGGGCCCGATGTCCACAGGTGGGGGTTGTGCTTACAGCCCAACACCATACAGGATGTTTGGCATTTGCCAGAGAACACCAAGATTGGCAAATTCGCCACTTGTGCCCTGTGCTCTTCACAGATGAAAGCAGGTTCACACTGAGCATATGTGACAGACGTGACAGAGTCTGGAGACGCAGTGGAGAACGTTCTGCTGCCTGCAACATCCTTCAGCATGACTGGTTTGGCAGTGGGTCAGTAATGGTGTGGGGTGGCATTTCTTTGGGGGGCCGCACAGCCCTCCATGTGCTCGCCAGAGGTAGCCTGACTGCCATTAGGTACCGAGATGAGATCCTCAGACCCCTTGTGAGACCATATGCTGGTGCAGTTGGCCCTGGGTTCCTCCCAATGCAAGACAATGCTAGACCTCGTGTGGCAGCAGTTCCTGCAAGACTAAGGCATTGATGCTATGGACTGGCCCGCCCATTCCCCAGACCTGAATCCAATTGAGCACATCTGGGACTGTGGTGGAATCTCGGTAAAAATAAATTTAGTAGGCCGAGATTACCACGTGGCATGTGTACGTGCATATGCTGACGTATCGATCAGTTGGTTGCACGAGGCAAGATACGATCAGTAGTGTACGGAGCATGTGCAAGAATACAGGATGTAGTATTCCCCTCCTCCATTGTGCTGGACAAGCCATGCGGTCAAGCAGGAAGTTAATTCTTATTTGTAATGATTGGTCAAGAGAATGTGCGGGTGGAGCTTAATATGGGAGGAGTTATGTGCCTATATAGGGAGCCTGCACTATTGTTCAGGGCTCAGAACTTGCTGTATTTTTGGTGACATTAGTCCCTCTGAGTCCCGATCGGTGATCCAATAAAGAATCTCTTCCTTCCTGAAGAAACCTGTGTCCATCTCTCTGTGCTTTGCTTCCGTCAGTTTCTCCGGTATCATTTGGTGCATTGGCCGGGAAGCTCATCGTTCAACGGTAGCTGAGAGGCAGAGGCGTGAGACGGTCTATCTTTGCCCACGTTCTCTACGGCTGCACCCCTGAACTTCTGCGTGGACCTCCCTTCGTCTCGGCGCCACTGGTCTGTTGTCCAGGAGATCATCGGCCTCTACGTAAGAAGTGCTGGGGTGTCCCCGTCGATGAGTGTGAACTCAGGTTCAGGAACGAGGAGGTAAGACAACTGCTGTTTTAGACGGCAGACCCACTAGGGGTATACCGATTGTGCGGTAGGCCCAAAAGGGGTTTAAATCTGTGTATGGAATCTGCCCCCTCTGTCGGAGGGAAGGAGCGAAGGCGCACCGCTCGATCGAACGCTCTTTAGTAAGACCGTTTGATCTGGTTAGTCAGGCGGGGTCCTGTGTAAATAGCCCTAGCCGGACACCGGTGTCTTGTCTAGACTAGCGTTCTAGGGTGTATATTACGTTCGCTAGGTCGGAGGGACCGGGAGACTAAGCGGCGCCTGTGTAAATTCGGTTCGCTAGCTCTCAACCTATCTTGGCTAAGTGGGAAGGCGTGTAAATTTGGAACCCACTAGACTTTTGATAGAGTAAATAGACTAGAAGGGCAATTTTGTAAATTTCGCCCTCTAGTTCGCTATATGTGGTGTTTGGGCAGTGTGGCTAACCAAAACGGGTGTATATAGTTTTAGGTAGTCCATTCAAGGTACTGGCCAATAGTTTAGTTGGGATTGTAAATGTGTTAAAGATTGTTAGTAAAGTGTATATCTTGTTAGATAGCGCGAGCTCAGCCGTCTAGCGAGAGTGTTAATAGTGTGTTGCTGTATCATAGTGCACGGTACCATAACCCTGTATATTTACTGACACTGTATATAAGTACTAATCATTGTCGTCTATTGCATGTTTAACACCGTAACCACTAATAATTGTATTGTGACCTTAAATTGTGCTTTGACCTATGCTAACCGTACTGTAACCGATACTAGTAAAAGGCGATGTTACTGGGGTGTGTTATAGACGGGTAATTCATATATAGAGAATTATAGCGTGGGTGACTGTATAGTTTCGCCAAAGGGCATAATATTGATTATTTAGTGACTGGTGTAACAGCTGTGTGTGTACGGGAATTCCCTGAGTGATTATTGTGTTATTGTGTACGTTTCACTCGGTAACTGTACCACGTGGTGCTGTTGCCAGAGGAAACGGGTGTGACTGTTGAATAAGAACGCGTGCATAGTATTCGTTGTCAACGACGTTCCATTGATAAGTATGGGCGCGTCAGAGTCAACGATTTCGGATCCCTTAGGTTGTATGGTAAAGAATTTTAAAAAGGGATTCAAAACATGTGATTTTGGGGTTAAAATGTCTCCTGTACGTTTGGTCACTTTGTGCACTAGGGAGTGGCCTATTTTGGTTGCGGCATGGCCGCCGCGTGGCAGTTTGGATCCAACCCTGGTACAGCGTGTACACGTGGCTGTGTCAGGTAGGCCTGAACTTTACGGACAGTTTCCATACATTGATTGTTGGGGGCAGGCCGTAAACGACTCGCCAAAATGGATCCGGATATGCCACGAGGAGCAATGTCGCCTCATGGTGGCCAGGACTTGTTTGTCCACTAGGACTGGTGTTAGGCCCATTTTGGACACGCCCCCTGAGTCCGAGATCCCTTTGCCGCCTCCTTACTTTCCTTTAAGAGGAAGTGACGCGAATGCAGGAAGCTCTGCACCCCTTCCCCTATTGCCCCCATCCACTTCCGCTTCCTCCTCCAGTACAGAATCCACCCCCCCTCGTATTAAAACTCCCCTTCCTGAACCAGGACCAACCCCCATTAGATTTGAATATCCTGATTTGGCGCCACTTCAAACTTCCGGTCAAGCTTCTTCTAGCTCGGCTCGGAGTATACTATTCACTAACTTTTCCCAAAATCAAGTTCCCACATCCTCATGCCCTATTACCTCTCGACCGGAACCTTTAACTGGCGCCCCTCCACGTAGCCCCATACTAACCCGACAACTGACCGGTACCCAACAATTAAAACATTATCAGATGCCTCTTCGTCTGAATCCTGGGTCAGCCTATATCGATGCCGCAGGTCAAATGGCACATGCTGACCCAGTCTTCGTATATGTCCCGTTCACGACTACCAATCTCTTGAATTGGAAGACCCACAATTCCTCGTACACTGAGAAACCACAAGCTATGACCGATCTGTTCACCTCGATAGTACAGACACATAACCCGACATGGGCTGATTGCCAGCAGTTATTAATGACATTGTTCAATAATGAGGAAAGGACAAGGATTAACCAAGCGGCCATTAAGGCGCTAGAGGAGAGAGCCCGTGCTTTAAATCAAGCCAATCCGGCAGCATGGGCCGCAACACATTACCCTAACACCGATCCTGACTGGAATGTAAATGGCGCAGATATGGCTCAACTTAAAGCCTATAGAGATGCTATAATTGCTGGCATGAAAGCCGGAGGGAAGAAAGCTATTAACATGTCGAAGACAGTTGAGGTGATTCAGAAAAGTGATGAAGCGCCCAGTGTCTTTTATGACCGATTATTGGAGGCATACCGCTTGTATACCCCCTTTAATCCGGAAGACGCTGATAATTCCCGAATGGTAAACTCCGCCTTTGTCAGCCAAGCTTACGGAGATATTAAGCGCAAGCTACAGAAATTAGAAGGGTTTGCAGGTATGTCTATCACCCAACTAATGGAGGTAGCGAACAAAGTATATATGAATAGGGAAACAGAAAGTAAGAAAGAGGAAGAGCGCAAGATGCGTAGAAAGGCAGATATGCTAGCGGTAGCGATCGCAGGCGTAGATAGACGGGGCCCAGATAGAGGCGATGGTAGATGGAATAGGGAGCCTTTGAGTAGGAATCAGTGCGCGTACTGTAAGGAAGAAGGGCATTGGAGGAACGAGTGTCCGCAAAGAGAGCAGTATGAGAGAGACTTACCCAGGGCAGGTTACGGAAACTTTAGAGGCAGAGCGAGAGGTAGAGGAGGCCCCGGAGGGAGTAATGGTAATAGAGGGAGTAATGGGAACAGAGGAAGTGTAAGGGAAGATAGGTACTATCCAGCAGCGCAAAGGTCCCGCGATAGAGAAGGTAGGGACTTTGTGGGATTGGCTGACACGGTCATGGAGGACTATTGATACCACCGGGCTCCATCCCCCTTGGTCGAGCGGAGCCTATGGTCGATGTATCAATAGGGGGAAAAAGGAGTGCGTTTATGATCGACACTGGTGCTGAACATTCGGTGGTGACTAATCAAGTTGCTCCTCCATCTGGAAGAACTATTACT